AAGCCCCTTCGCCGTCGAGCACCCCAGGCACTCCCGGAGCTCGCCCACCAGCGTCGTCCCTTGCTGCTTCGCCGTGGTCCTCAGCAGCACCTCGTGGGAGTGGCCGTACGCGCAGTGGAAATCGTTGATATCAACGGGGGTGCTGGACGCTTTTNTGCTGGGCGCTTTCGCGTTGCCAGGAGCAATTGCGGCACAGGCATGTTCGGTGTGTGTGCGGAAACCGTTTTGGACGTACAGGTTACCGCATCGGGGGAAGTACACCACCTCCCCCCCCCCTCTCTCCAACTCCAACTCGTGTTTGTTGAGGGTTTTGGTTTCGAACCCGTCGTCGAAGAGGGAAGTGAGAGATACTAGGTTGTAGTCTAGTCGGGGGACGTGTGCAACCCGTTTCAACAACAGGTCGGTTGTACCGTCGCGCGAGCTAAGGGTGACCGTCACGTCACCATACCCTACGATAGAGAAGGTTTCCCCGGCGGCGACGCGCACACGTCGATCACAATCTTCGTAATGAACGAACCCATCTGTGTTCGCGAACATGTGGGTCGTAGCGCCGGTATCGGCGACATACCTACCCCTCCTAGCCTCCTCTACACCCCCTCGACCAACGACTTTGTGACACTCGCCTGAGATGTCACCGACCACCAGCGCTTCTTCTGCCACGTCCAGTGCTGTGGCGTCCGCAGACGCCCTCCCCGCCGGCACTTCCACCACGAGCACCGCCTCTTCGGTCGGGCACTTGCTCTTGTCGTGGCCGTAGCCCTTGCATGTCTCACATCGCACGGGCTTGCTCTCGGGGCAGTTGGCCACCTGGTGGCCCTTGTTGCCGCATCGGAAACAGCGACCGCGTGCTACCCGCATCTTCGTCACGCCGCCTCCGCTGCCGCCTCCAGCCTTCGCGCCACCCCCTCTCCCCTTCTGGTTGCCGCCGCCGCCGCCGCCACCCTTGCGGCTGCCGCTGTTGCCGCGGCCCGGCGCTCCTCCCCCGCCGCCACCGTCACTCGCGAGGAGAGCATGCTCCGCCCTACGCTGGCCCTTCGAGGCCTTCCTTCCCTCCGGGAGGCTCGCGTGCACCGTGCTCACGATCCTGACGATCTCGGCCCTATCCAGCGCCGTTGCTGTCTCCAACAGGAACTTCGCTTGTTGGTACTCGGGTGGGAGGGAACCAACGAAGTGGGCGAGAACGAAGGGTTGTTCAGCATTGAGCTCCTTTTCGCGCAGGCGGGCGTACAGCAGCTCGAGAGAGTAGAGATGCTCGATGGGGTTGCTATTACTGTGTGTGGGTATTGCAATCTCGAACATCTTCCGCATCAAGGCCTGTTTTGACCCCTGTGACTCCGG